ACTTGATTTAACTACAGACTCATTCATCAAGTAACCATCAGACCCAAACTGTCCCACTAGGCTGGAGGTTCAGCCTATGGTACCAAACTCCAGTTCTCAATCTGTTGCCTTCCACTTTCTTTACATGACGTTCTTTTCTAAGCAATGCAAGATACATATCTCTCATCAACTTGCTCTCTAAATACTCCACACTGTTACAAGCTGCACTCCAATCGGCCACATCACCTTCTTGTGCTGAGGAACAGCATCAAGAGAGAGGGAGGTGCAGGGGCCAGCAGGGCAGCAGCTACCAAAACCCACATAAAACCCAAAACACATGGACAGAGCACATCACCAACAGCTCCAACTCTTTCTCCTTCCCCCAGAAGGTATCTCCACAGTGTGGCTCCATATCCCTGGTCCAGAAACAGGAGCAAACCCAAAACTGCATCACACCATTGACTGAACTGTACAAAAACCTGAGGCTTTTGACTTGCCATGGGGGCACTTTGGCAGCCTCCCCCTCGAGGCTAAAGACTGATTTTCCAACATGTAAATGTGTCTCAAATCAAATACAAGCAGCAGACCCAGAAAGGATGGTGATGTAGATTCACGGCAGCCCCCAAGGAGAGGATGGTGACCTGAGGACCTGCTGGGTGGGCTTAAACAAGGCACGGGCTTGATGCTCCTCAGCGTTCTCCTCCTCCCATGCTCACCACCCGTGTTGCCACAAAGACCATTCACCTCTGAAAAAGACACCAAGAACCTACAACATGAAGCATCCAGGAAAAACCGTGGTGCTCCAACACGACCAACCTGCACTGAAGAGTCTCTGTGTGTACACAAGAAGCAGCCCACATTTTTCTGGGTCCTATTTGTGCCTCCTCATGAGCAGCAACACTCAGTCCTGGTCCCAGTGTCCACAGGCTGAGACTTTCCAAGTTACTTGACACAAACCAGAGCCGTGGCCCAGCCATGACAAGAGAGCACAGCTCCACAACTGGAACAAACGGGGAGTGGGGGGTGGAATAAATTGCATATTTCATCCTCTTCTTTTGTGGCTTTTATTTTCTTTTGCATCCGCTTTGGGAATAACATTCTTTCCATTGGGAAGAGCATGATTGTCCGTTAAATACAAAGCAGCTGCCATTTTGGAAACAAAAAGTTGATTAAATACAGACTTTTTTTTTTGTTATTATTATTTTTTTCCTTAATGTATGAAGAGCTAGAACCACTCTTCCTTCTGCTGATTCGTCAGGGCAAAGCATGTGCCAATTATGGCAGCAGGAAGACTTGAAGAGAGCAAAATGTATCACTTTGTCTTCGCTGTATAATTTTATAATCTGATGTTATAAATGAAAGAGGAAAGATCTGGAGGGTTGGAGCAGAGCACGCTGCACTCATCCTCATGGCAGAGTCCTCTGCCACGTGGAAACCGAGGGTTTCTCACCCTTTGCACACACAGGGATGTTCCAGATTCCCTGTTTACGCAGTTCCCTGCTTCCCGAGGTGCCGGAGGAAGGGTGGGAACGTCGCCGTGACGTGCGGCCGCCTGTGGGAAACACAACTGCCACATGACTGCAGGCCCAGATGTCAAACAGACTGGAAAAAAAGGATGAGCTCAAAGCAAATTAAAAAAGAAAAAAAAAAAAAGCACAGCAAACTACCCAGCCACTCCATTTCCACCCCGTGAGCCATCACCACCCAAAGCAGGAGGTTTCTTTTTCTCCAAGCAGAGCAGATCACTGAGTGACCAACACAAAAGGTGTTTGAAACTTCAGCTCCTTTTACAGTCTTCCAAAATCTGAATCTTACATTAAATTTCTCTTGTCAAGATTGAGACCTTAGAGTTGAAAACCAGACAGAAGGAAAAAAATATATGGATGGTCAAAGCTGTAGAAATCACTGTTCTTTTTTTAATGAACCCAGCAGGCTCCTGTTAATTGTTGCCATTCATGAAGACAAGGAAGAAGGACCATGAGAAATCCATAAGGATCTGCACTTTCAAATACTTTGCTTGCTCTCTCACTATTACATCTAACCTAGGCTGCAAGATCCAGGGAGAACTTATCTCTGTGTGAAGGCTCCCCTGTGATGGTGACCAAATGATGTGTTTTTAATTGCAGCCACCTCAGCCCCTCAACTGCTATTGGCTCCAGTGATGGGCAAAACCTCCCAACGCTTCTCCACGCACCCTCAAATCAAGTGATCTCTGCATGGGCACCCCAAAGGACATTGGACCTGAGGGTTGGGCTCCTCCAGGGCAGGTGATTCTCCTCCTGTGAGTAGGTTAAAGAAGATAGCTGGGGACTTTAGAAGCAGATGTGGTGTTCATTGACACTCCTTTGCACACTCACAAGTTAGGAAGAACTTCACAAGATTTCAGGTTGCCAGTGGATTAAATACAAGGAAAGGATAAAATCACAAAGTCTGTTCTTTCACTTACATTTGAAAAAAACAACCCAAAACCAAGCAACTCCATACTTTTAACTTCTGGTCAGTTTTTTGGAAGGTAGACACTGGGGGTCTGGTGCAGGAGGTGGCAGGTTTGGATTCCTTACACTGAGGATGGATTTTGAGCTGCCAAATTCCCTGTGCCACACACCTAACTCTTTGTGTAGGTACGTGCCAGCAAAAGCAAGCAGAAAATAGCCTTGTGCATCTAAGTTGGTAACATGAAAACCAAAGCCAAACATGCCAAGGTGACTACTCAGAGGGGAGCAATACCTAGGGAAGCGTGCACACCCTGTTTTAAAGGATTTATGGGACCAGGCATTTTAGCTTCAATCAGTTTTCAAAGTGCTGAAAGCAGACAAGAAACCATGTAATTACAAGGTAACTTGGCTAACCCAGATTTGAGTTAACTAGCGCTCCTGGGTTAATCAGAGGTCAGTCTTCTCCCCAGCCAACAAAAGCTAAATCCACCATATTTCAATGCTTTGCTCCTTGCTCTAAAGGAACCATCAGCTCTTGTTATCAAGCCTTTCATTTTGGGAAGTATCTGGGATTTTGGAGATGCTTGAGGAGACCAGGAAAGTAATGCAAAGCCACCAGACCACAGCAAGGTGGGCAGCACAGGACCACACAACAATGCAAGCCCTGCTTCAGCCACCAGCCCACCTTCTTCCCACCAATGCACCCTCGTTTTAAGGGCTCAACCTTCAGGGCAAGCTGGTCTGAGCAACTCCCCAGGAGACTCAGACCATCTCCGGAGGGCAGAGGAAGCCTCTGAGGACCATCCAGGGAGGATTCTGGATGCTGCTTGTGCCCTGTCCATGTCTGCAGCCCAAGCAACTCAGGGTTTTTTATGTGTATCTGGATCTAAAACACCAAGAAACTTCCAGGATTAGCCACAGCTACTTCCCACCGGATATTTTAGACTGTGTTACAATTGCTCCTTTGTCCTGCTGGCTTATGCAGTCAGATTTTTATTTTCAATCTCTTCTAGACAGATTAGTGATTTATTTCCACCAATTAATACAAACTACCTAGAGAACGAAAAATGAGAGGGGTTAAAAGGAAAATTAGAATCTGTTGCAGTTAAAAACAAACCCAACTAAGAGCAGGCTAGCAAAGTGCCACCATATAAAGGGATTACTCCACTCCTGACCCTTTCCAGGGGATCTCCAGGTATTACTTTTCATTGATTTACCTTAATGAAACTAATGCACCCCTCTCCATAGGAAGCTGACTCCATAGCTGTCTAGGCACTGGATTCAATTAAATAAATACATCTGGCTCCTAAATTGTTGGAAGTCTTGAAAAGCCAGAGGCAATACCACTTTTTTTTGCATCTGTCTCTCTCTGGGTACACCCTAAGGACACCATAGAGGATGGTCGACATCTAACACCCCTCCTGACACCCACAGCCACGGGGGGATGCCCAAAGCATCCCTGCCTGCTCCCACAGCCCTGCCAGCAGCCCAGCCATGGCTTTGATGGAAGCTGGCCTCAAATTGCTTTAACAAGGCTCTTTCTTTCCAGAAGCTGGCGTTGATTTGAGACCTCAATGTTGACTTAGAAACCCCCAGGTGCCCAGAGCCTGCAAATACTCAAGGCTTAGCTATGCTCAGTTTCCAGGAAAAGGGGTACATGCACCCAACCGCAGCGTGAACTATCAATACTGCTGTGGCAGCTCAGCTTCAAAATGAAGAGCAGGGGTTAAAGACAGAAAAGCAGAAGCTGGAGTAGGGGCTACATCTTCCCACTGGCCTCATCTCCCACTGCACAGCTGGGTCAAGCAGGGCTGCACCAGCAAAAAAAAATAATAATGAGGCTTTGCTTGCCCGGGCCTTGGCTTGCAGACATGGGAATAGAGGAAACAAGGGAGCTGGAGAGCTCTTTGTTTGCAATCTACCCTGGAAAGCGCTGCAGCTTTTTCTCCCGCACATGAAACAAGCAGAAATGACAATTAGAGGGGTTTGCTGAACCAGAAGGCAGGTCTGAAAGGTCTCCTTTGCTTTACGTGTGCTAATCGTCCTAATCCAAAGAGGACGAGAGTAAACATCAAGAACTCAGGAGAATTTGTGGATAAGATACTACTCTAACCCTCTAACCAGAGGAAAGGTTTAGTGGTCCAAGCCCCGAGCTGGAACACTAAGACCAGGAGGAAAATCAGGCTGGAATCCCAGTTTTGTCTGAATAAATGAGAGGGATTTTACAGAGATCTTTTCTCCTCCAAGCAGAGGCTGAAGATCCCATCATGCTTTCCCTAATAACCAGTATTTCCCCTAATTCCCTGCACATTTATGGATGTACAGAGGATAAAAGGAGCCAATTACATGTGCTGTTCTCTAAAAGCAACAATTTAGCACTGCTACTGCAACAGCACACTTGTGGGCGACTTGTCTGGAAGGAAACCCTTTCCCCTGGTCTCTCATCTTTCTAATTTAAACTTCTACTCAGTGTTCTCCTTTCCTCCTTTCTGAGACTAAGGACCTTTTCTGGTTCAACTCACCCTCTAACACTCGAGGTGGGAGCAGAGCAGAGCAAACGCCCGTGAGACGCAGTCTTGTACTCACCGACATTGTAGAGTGGACATCTACATCCCCCTACAGAGGACAACACAGGGAGTTGAAAGTCAAATGCAGAAGAGAGCAAAGCAACAGCAAGAAAGGCAGAGAGAGATACAGAGCGCTCATCACCTGTAGGTGCCTACAACCCATCAAGGCTCCAACTGAAGCACCAGCTGCTCAGCAGTTGAGAGAGTATTAAAAAAGCAACATATGGGCTCCCTGAACCTGGTCTAAGGAGAATGAGGAGGAAACCAAAGTACCACAGGACCAGTTTTATGGCTGTTAGGTACATTCTGCAAGCCAACATCCAGATGCCTCAGCTCTGCTACCTTAAGATGGTGGTGATGGGTGTCAAACCCTGGGAGGTGACAGAAGGGATCAGCTCAAGCAAAACTTGCTCAGATCTTCTGAGGGCAAAGGGACATTATCTCAGCACTGACAGGACTTGTGTCAATCTAAAGAAGGTGTCCTTGATACTCAAATGATCTTTTCGTGACTGTTATTTTCCAATTGGGTGCGTCCCAACGTGGTTAAGGCTGTGGCTGGTGCAAAGTTCAAGGCATATGACTGCCGTGCACAGTGCACTGCCTTTTAAAATATGAAAGGCTTTTAAAATAAAATCATAGCTAATAGTTCTCTTTAAAAAGAAAACAAACACTTCCAAAGCTCTTTCTACCAAAGCAAGAGCTGCTGTGGCCGATGTATTTATTTGCCACCGGGAAGAGATGCCAGCATGGTGAATAAGGCAAAAACACTGCACTGTTTGCCTGGCCCCAGTTGAAATCTGTGACTGCCATCTGGCAAAAATAAGCAGAAAAGGAAAAAAAAAAACAAACACAACAAAACCAAACAAAAAAAACCCACCAAAACCAAACCCCCTTTGCAGAGAGTTCAGTGAACTGCTCAGGACGGCAGAGGTTGGAGTTTGTTCGATCGCTGAAAGATTGCTTCCCCTTCCCGGGTCAGCATCACCTCTTGACCTGCCCTGATTACCTTCCAAAGGAGGTTATCAAGATACAAGACTAACAGAGGATTAAAGGAAACTTAAAATAAAAACAAAACATCCCCCCCTTTTCCCCCAACTCTGCTACCCTCCCCCAAGAAAACATCCTTGCTTTGTTAACCTGACAGTTCACTGTAGGTGTTGACACAACCCTCCATCTCCCAGCAGCTTAATGTCAACAAATCAGTGTGTTTGGAGTAGCCCTGTCAATGCGATTTACATTAACTTGTCTAACAAGAAATAAAAACAACAATCAGCCATCAAAGACAAAAGGCTTTTTCAGTCATTCTTTTAAAAGTATTACGCTGGAAATGTTAATTTTTTGAGGCCACGGCCCTTTACTTGCTGAAAACCAGAAACCACCTTTTTTTTTTTTTTTAATACTTTTTTTTCCCCTAAAGTATTTTTTTTTCTTAGGAAAAAAAAGAATAAAAATAGTATTTTCTTTTAAAGGAGGCCCGAGCATCCCATGTTAATAAGCTCAGCAGCAGCAGTAACCAACCCTCCCTGGTTAGCACAGGAAGAGGGCAGCCTTGAAACCAAATGTTAATTAGGCTTTGATTTCCACCAGCGTGTTATTTGCTTTGAGACATTTTGGGCACTTAGTGGAGCATTTTCGAATTGTGGCTCTAAACCACCATGAAAATTTCATGCAGCAGTGGTATGCACCAAAACCCTCTTCACTTCCCCATGAACTTTTCCTCCCTCCCCCCAGCACACGCCGTGCCCACCAACGTGCCCCGTGCAGCCAGGGGCTCAGCCTCCTGAAGCAAAGCTGGAGAAAGCAAATCGATTCCAGGGATTCCTAAAATCAAGTGGTTTCTACCAACTCCCACAATGCCTACTTTGATGCTCTAAAGGAAAAAGAAACAGGCATTGCAATTGCAAAAATCCTGAGGTGGTAGATGCTCCATCCCTGGAAATATTCAAGCTCAGGTTGGACGGGGCTCTGAACAACCTGATCTAGTTGGAGATGTCCCTGCTCACTGCAAGGGGGTTGGATTGCT